TCGCCAGGCACAAATCGTCGTTTTCTGACGAAAGGACGTAACCACGTTACAATATTGCCAAATTTTCTTCTTCTCCTTCTACCTTTGGACTAGGGCCGTGACCCTGTTTGTCTAGCCTCTAAATTAATAAATAAATATGACAAATATGATAGTAAATATATGAATAATTAAAAATAAATATGACAAATATGATAGTAAATATATGAATAATTAAAAATAAATATGACAAATAACATATGATGGCGATGAGAGAGGGTTAATTCTCCGGGGATGAAAGGCAGCTCTGTGCCCATCTCTTGGGCGGTCGTCCGGGTTGCCTTTGGCTATGAGGTCGTCCTACCATACAAATCTTAGCAAGCCTTTCCCCGTCCATCCCCTTGCCAAAATGCCAAATTTTGATTTGACGCATTAATTTTATTCACTTTGATAAACGTTTATCAATTGAATGAAGTGGGTCAATTATTTTTTCGTTTTTTGGAATTGAAGAAACTTACTCGTTCAATGCAATGCCCAACTTTTGACCCTCACGATGGTGTCTGTGGTGCAGAAGGGTTGAAAAGCTTCTGTTGCGTTTCAATGGAATTTTAGTTTTCTCACTAAGTCTACATTTATTTTTACTGGGCACTTTAGTATCAGTTTCCGCGCTAGTGAACTAGCTCTGATGAATTCCGTCGTAAGATGCCGCAATTTTAGAAATAAACCAATCAGTCAATTTCACGCGAATCCATTCCCGAATGATTCCGAAAATTTCAGGCAATGCTTTTAAGACTCAACTTCGCAATACCTTGAAAAACAAAAAGTTCGTTTCGAAAGCTGTCAAAGCCCTCTATTGTGACGAGTTTGTTCGTGCCTTTCCCAAAGAGGAATACTTTGAACCGGAGACGATTGCTAATTGACAGTTGGAGTTGTGGATGGCACATTACGGGGGGGAACTTTTTTGCCAAAAATAAGTTGCGAGCGAGCGGTGCGGAATTCGACATCAACAAAGCCATATTGCCACTTTTTGAAGGATACTTCAATTTTAGAAGCTCAACATCAGTAACACATGTAAAATAGGTTTTTTCAAAAAAGAGCATGACCATCTCAAGGATAGATCTTACAAGCTGACTTTTTGCACCGTCAAAATGTCGGCGATCAAAATAAGTAATCGATATTGTAATAAAATAAATAAAAAGTAAACCGGAACACGTAATTTGGTGGCAGAGGTTCGTTGTCTTAGATGCTTTTCGGGTGGAAATACCATCCTCCAAAAAGTGCGTAGCCCGGTATACTTTTTATTGCTTTATTTAATTACTTTATTATGGCGTGAGATGCGATTTTCTAATAATCGATGATGCTGTAAAAGTTTGGTAACGGTCCAGTCGGTAGAGTGACTATTCAGGCGTTTAAGGCGCATTATCACAATTACTGGTCTTTATGGATGATATTCACCGGGAAAAAGGAGGGGTGGCAATTCGAGCTGTTTTTGGCCCCTCCTATTCCGGGACTTTTTTTGCTGTGATTCGCCGACGCGACAATCAAATCGAGCAAAAAAATTCCCAGTGACGATTCGAGAATGATCGATTATCGAGTTTTCCCCCATTTGAGGCTATGATGAAGAATTGATTATCAAGGTGTTCGTTGCGAACACCTTCTCTGTCGATCCTTTGTCATAAGTGCAGATAAATCGATACATCACAAAGCACGCCACCCCACTGCACCGTTCCTTCATGGGAATAACTAAAGTTCCAACGTCAAGGACTTTATTTTAACCACGTAATGACGATCAACTCGGCACTGGGTCTAAATTGGCTTCTATCCGTGTATTGCTTGTATCTATACTTTACATAGTTCTTAAACTGACTGAGTTCGATTCATTTAAAATATAAAACCGCGCATCTGAGAAAAAATATCAAGTTCGCCTTCTAATTTATCAGCTCTAGAAAATTAGAAAATGCCCGTAATGAAAATTAAGGATTCACAATTGAATTAAAATCCCTTAGTATAACAGCAAGGAGTTTTAAATACTCTTTTGACAACATTTAGTCAGTTTCCTCCTATTATAGCAGAATAAACAAAGTTACTGCCCACCGGAAAAATCATGATTGACGTTTATGGGCACACCATGATTGCATCCATCTTGATTTTATAAATTGCATATACGAAGTAGTCAGTGCAACTCTGTGGCCCTGATGCATATTCCGATCAGTGGCGTAGCGTGCTTTGCGATATATCGATTGATCGGTCATTTAAACCTATGGAAAAGGATCGATAAGCGAACACCCTAATAATCGATTCTTTACCATGGGTTTAAATGACATAACAATCGATATATCCCAAAAGCACGCCACGCCTCTGATTTCGATCTAATCCCAAGTGGAGGATACCATAGCTCGCATACTGATGTAGACAGTATCAATAATTCAATTTCCCTTTTTTCGACAAGCCTCCGTAATATGTGAAAGCGATGGACTCAGCGAAAGTCGGAATGTTTCATTTTTCAAAAGAAATGAACGTCAGTTTTTTTCGACGAATCATGAACGTTGAGGGGAAAAATTGAGAAATAGCGACCAAATTGAAAGAAAAATTTTATTGACAATACTTAGATACAGAATACGGCAATATTATAATATTAAATGGTGCAATAATGATTTTTTTAATGGAATCAGGCTTAATTGCAGATACAGATTTTAAGTATCGAGGATGTATGAGAATTTAACGCCTGTCACATTTAGATTTTATTGTTGCTGTGGAATGCAAAAAGAAACAATTGTAGAAAAGTCTTTAGATTCACGGTCATTCATGGTCCCTAGAAATTTCGTCAGATGTGTGGTGATAACGCTTCTTATGAACGAAACCAGTAGGATGTTTAACACTATCAGAATTCCAGAGATAGATTGGATAGATCCCTAGATATCATAAAAATCAGTACCCTAGCTTGGAAAGGTTCTTGGGTCTGGTGCCAACTCAGCCGATCAGGAAAAAAAAGTCTGTAATGACCAACTGTTATTGGAAATCTCTGAAACTCTCACAACGCAGATCCCTTGATAATTTGAATCAAAAGTGCCTGTTTAACAAATGTGCCTTTTTATTATCTGCGTGGTTATCGATCGCTGGATTATCCACCCATTTAAAAAAAAAGTCTGTCTCAATATGAATAGTAAAAATAATAACAGAGCAAGTGGAATTACAATCACGGCGTTCCGCGCGAGGCGTTTAATTGTATATTACAATCCTGAATTGATTCGGCTTATGAAACAAGTATTTCGGGTCCATAACATGAATTTTTTGTCATCGATGTGAAAATGAAGCTGATGTTCCCTGGATAGATAGTACACCAGCCGACTGTACTACCGTGCTAAGGAAAAACGCCGTATGAGCATTCGAGAGTTGCCAAATTTCCTCCTACAATGTTTATTTTTGAGGAAAGATGTGGATATCCATCCTTGAAATTTTCAGGGGCTTTGGGTGGAATCGTGAACAAAATTATCTGAAAAATTGGAAGGAAAATATTCATAAGTTTACCAGAAAATACGTATTTTATCAAAGAAAATTTGGCAACGCCTGAAGGTTCGTACGGTGTTTTTCCTTAGCACGGCAGTGTAGCTCTATCTCCACGATCAAAATGGGAGATCAAAATGAAGAGTTCGTTGGAATTCTTCCGACGTGATTCGCCAGATTTCGATAGGTATAAACTTCAAACCTCCATTTTGATCGTGGCGACGAGGAAGGCTTCGAGACTCGGAGAGTGTAGACTCATCTGCAGCGGGCTCTAACTTTTTGCTCTTGGGCACTAAGAAGCAAACCGGAATCTAGCAACCTCTATCATTTTTTTTATATTTGTGGCTTATTCTTTTCGCCGTTTCCACCACTCGGGAGACCGCCTGCGCCTTCACCCAGAGATTTGGGAGTTTCATCGCCAGTTAAAGTAGTGCCCCCGCTCCTTGTACCCCCACTCATAGTACCCCCGCTCATGGTACCGTTGCCGCCTTTCTCACCAGATTCGTGCTCCGACTCAAGCCCCGAGCTACCTTTGGTTGAGTACTTTTTACCACCAGCGCCATTACCACCACCAGCGCCTCCACGAGCTTCGCCTCCAACGCCGCCCCCAGCGCCACCACCCTCACCAGTGCTTCTCGCTGCACGAAGACCTGCGCCCTATATTTCCAAACAGAAAATCGTTGGTACATTATTTAATTATTTTATTGGAGACATAAAATGTTGACGTAGGGCGTTGACGAAGAGATGTTGCGGTGTCAGTTGCCCTATAACCTCTGGGAAGATAGGCATATGTGGCGTTTGGGGGTCGTAGAACGTCAGAGTGCGTTGTAAAGCGACTTTATATATATATTATTGGAGACATTCACCAACTTGGGCTACTAACCCTAGCCTGCCAAACAAGTTTTTCCACTAGATTGCCAATTCCGGGACAGTTTAGACCCGTATTTAAAATACACAGGATCCTCTTTTTTATTAGTTTTTTTGGTCACATGCATGCGCGTATTTTAAATGATGTTTCACATTAAAAGTAAACTTATAGGCCTAATATTTTTTTCCTTCCAAAGGTTAGATATGCAACCATTCAACCCATCTCTGTTATTAAGGTTGCGTAGCTTCCATTTTGTAATATTTTAACTTGGCAAGCATGCACGGAGAAAAAAACCCCGTGCGTGGGACCCGAAGTTTAGGTCATATGGATCTCTGAAGTTTTCGGATCGAGCATCTGAACACTTTTGGTCTAGCTGTCGAGATTTAGATCACACATCTGAAACTTCAGTTCTTACATCTGAAGTACTTCAGATGTGAGAACCGAAGTTTTTCGGATGTGAGAACCGAAGTTTTTCGGATGTGAAAACCGAAGTACTTCAGATGTAATAACTGAAGTTTCAGATGTGTGATCAGAAAACGTGAATTGTGGTTAAACTGATTTTCTGCTCTTTATATCGTAAATGCATCGTTCTACAAATCCTTAAAATATATGTGTATTAATTCATTCAATAGTAAGTCACAAAAAAGGTACCTCCTCAAGAGCCGTAACTGCTCCATTTTTGATGTAGCATAACAGCAAGGAACTGCAAATCTGTGAAAGAATAAATATAAAAAAATAAATTAGTATTTATAAAGAATGGGAAATGAAGGTTGTCTCTCCTCTTTTATGTGGAAACTAAACAGAGTTCCCATAATTTTTTTTTGCTACATATTTTCTTTTGGATTGTAATAAATTAATAACGTCACCATCGTTCGTCATGTAAAATGAATCGTGAATCAGAAGGATTAAAATTTCTCTTACATTCTACGATTTTTATATTCATGGTCCGTTTAATTAAATGATTTTTCTGTTTCATAATATGAATCTCGCATTGTTTTATATATTATAAATTAAATAATAATTTCTAGTCGCCTTCATTTAGTCAGAATAGAATGATGGACGAAAATTTCAATTTTATACAGCTTTCATTACTCACGCATATTAGGAGAAGGGTGGTGAATCTTGGAACCATTTTCACTGCACAGCTTCACAATAACGACAACTGATTCTATAAATGCTCCCACAGTACAACAGCGAACGTTTTATACTGTCGTGTGCCGTTCTGGCCTCGAAAAATTAGTTCGACATTGATACTGTTTTCCAGAGATTGAAGATTTTTATTTGAGCTGCTCAAACACAAAATGAAAATTTAGAATTTACACCTATTCTGCTGTGCTAAGGAAGAACGCCGTATGAACATTCGAGGGTTGCCAAATTTCTCTTGATGAAACACGTATTTTTGACAACATTCCAGAATATTTTTCCCCGAAATTTTCAGATATTTTAGATTAAATTGCGTACAAAATTGTCTGAAAATTTTGGAAAATAATATTAGCAATTTTCCCAATTAATTCGGTTTTTATCTAAGGAAACTTGACAACGTCTGAAGGCTCATAAGGCGTTTTTCCTTAGCACGGCAGTATTCGCGTGAACATATGAGCTGAATGGAATATGTTTGATTCCGTTGTCCTCATTTCCACGACCATGGAAAATTGTTCGGAATCAAAATTGAGAGTCACTGAACAAATTCGGATGTCATGGTGGTATTTACTCCCATCTTCGCTCTATCGCTAACGAAAATATTAACCTTATTTAGTCAATAAGTAAGTGGAATTTTAGGCCAGGTCACGCAAGTGGGTGGCCAAAAAAAGAATACTGCCAGCACTTCCTTTCGACAATGTTGTTTTCAGCGCAGTGGATGAGTTCCAGACCTAAATCACAACACAAGGCCTACACGTGTAATAACAATTATTCCGGTCGCAGAAGCTA